GAAGGGTCCAGACCCGAAACGTCAGCTTTCCTGCTCCTCTGATGCTGCTTGGCCTGCTGTGTTCATCCAGCTCGACACCTTGTTATTTCAGATTCTCCAGCATCGGCAGTTCCCACTATCTCTGATCTGTTTTCTTCCGGTTTTACTGGCTTTTATCGAAACAAATAATCCATACAAACAATAGAAGTACGTAAACTTGTAGACTGGCCAAACTTAGACGCACGTATTTGGTTCCAGAGTAATCAATTACGACGTGAAGTAATAATTCAACAGCAAATCACTTATTTTAAACAGTCTAAATTGCACATTGCTGGAATCGTTCTTATTTTAAGTATTGACACAAAGCGTCCTTGCAGCTCGACAGTAATGAAGCGATGAATATATATGATTGTCCTCAATGGAAGATGATTGACTTGTGGGTTGTTTTCACAGAATGGTTACAACACAAGAGGCAATTTAGTCGGTTGTAGTTATGCCAGCTCTACCATGGCAAATTATCTTATTCTACTCTCTGTCCTTTCCCTGTAGCTTTGTAAGGTTTTTTTTTCCTCTCTTCAAACCTTTTAAATTACGTTTTGAAAGCCAGCTTGTATCTGCAACTTCTATACTCAGGTGATGTGTTCCTGACCACCTGTGTAGAAAAGGCTTTTCCTCATGTTGCAGCCAGCTGTTTATACATTCAGTGATCTAAATGTTGCTGGATAGACCTGTGTTTATTGCCCATCCTTAATTGGCCTTGAGAAGATAGTGGTGCTTTCTTGCATTGTTGCAGTCTTCAACATGCAGGGGTACTGATTTGAACTATTAGAATTTTGCCCCTGCAACATTGAAGGAGAAGCAATATAGTTCCAAATTGGGAGTGGCATCTATTCGGGAATGGAACTTGAAGGGTACAGGAAGATGTGAATAGTGTTTCCTGTGCAAACTAATTAAACAAGATAAAGATGTATGAGTAGTGGGTCATTCAGCCCAATGAGATCATGTCTGATCTGAATCCTCAGTTCCACTTCACTGCCTTTTACTCATAACTCCTGACTCCCTTACTGATGATATGTCCTCCTGAGCCTGAAGTATACTTTACCCTAAAGGGCTGCTGAGGCTAAGTTAAGAACTTGAATAAAAACAAAATACTACAAATGCTGGAAATATGAAACAAACAGCTGGAGAAATGCAGCAGATCTGACAGATCTTGAGAGAGAAGCAGAGTTAAAATTTCAAATCTAGTGTGATTCTCCTTCAGAACCCTGACTCTTCTGAAGAAGAGTCATAGCGGACTTGAAATGTTAATTCTGTTTCTATCTCTACAGATTCCATTGGACCTGCTGAGTTTCTCCAACTTTGTCCAATACTTTATGAGAGAAGGGTCCTCCCCATCTCTGTTAAATGGTTAACCCCTTAGACTAGTTTGAATCTCTCCACATCTACTCTGTCAGGCTGCCAGGTATTCTTGTATGTGTCAGGCCCCAGGTAATCTTCACATAATTACTGAATTTTTTTTCATTCATGAGATGAGGACATCGCTGGCTAGGCAGTATTTATTGTCCATTCCTAATTGCGCAGAAGGCAGTTAAGAGTCAACCGCATTGCTATGCGTCTAGAGTCACATGTAGGCCAGACCAGGTAAGGGTGGCAATTTCTTTCCCTAAAGGACATTAGTGAACCACATGGGTTTTTCTGACAATTGACAATGGATTCATGGTTATCATTAGATTGTTAGTTCCAGATATTTATGGAATTCAAATTCCACCATCTGCCATGGTGGGATTTGTACCCAGGTCCCCAGGTATCTGGATCTCTGGATTAACAGTCATGTAGAAGAAGACCATACAACCATCGTGCCTGCACCAGCTCTTCAAACGAACATTGTCACCTTGTGCCAGTCTCCTGCTTTTTACCTTATAACCTTGCACACTATTTCTGTCCAAATTATCATCCAATGCCCTCAAAATTGAACCTGCCTCCACCATAATCCAAACATTTTATCTAAAATGGAGTAAAACTGCAGAAAGCTGCCACACTAAGAGACTTGGCGGTACTTGTACACAAAACACAGAAAGCTAGCGTACAAGTGGAATGGAATGTGGGTCCTTATTTCAAGGGGATTGGAATATGGAGTAGGGAAGCCTTTCTACAACTGTGCAAGGTGCTGGTGATACACATCCAAAGTACTGAGAGTTGTTTCATCGCTTTATTTATGGAAATATATTATTTCATTGGAGGCAGTTCAGAGAAGGTTCACTGAGATGATCCCTTGGTGTGGAGGGGTTGACTTATGAGCAAGGGCTAAATAGTTTGAGATGTTACTCATTGGAATTTAGAAGAATGAGAGGTCATTTCATTGAAACATACAGGATTCTTAACGGGCTTGATGGGGTAAAGGATGAGAGAAAGTTTTCCTCTCTTGGGAGAATCTAGGGCATACTTGCAGAAATAAGGAGTGCAGAGGGATTTCTCCTGAGGGTTGAGTGTCTGAACTACTTGCCACAGAGCTGTGGGAGCAGAATCCTTGTGCATGTATAAGGTTGAGAGATTCTTGATCAGTAGGGAAATCAAGGGTTGTGGGGAAAGGCCAGGAAAGTGGGTGTGAGGTGTACTGGATCGACCATGTTCCTATTGAATGGTGGAGCAAGCTCCTGTTCCTATTTCTTGTGGTCTTCGTGCATTCCATACCCTAACTATTCGCTGCATGAAAGTTTTTTTTTCTCTCACATCACCCTGCCTCTTATGCAGATCACTTTAAGTCTATGCCCTCTAATTTTTTATCTTCTTACAAGTGGGAACAGCTTCTCACTATCCAGCTATCCATTTTGAAAACCTCTATCAGATCTCCTCTCTGCCTTCTTTTGTCCGAAGATAACAGTCCCAACTTCTTCAATCTTTCTTCCTAACTGACATTTCTCATCTCTGGAACAATTCTTGTAAATCTCTTCTGCATTTTCACATTTCTGTTCTATAAATGTGGTACTTTCACTATACAGAATGCTGCAGCCGAGGTCCAACAAGTGCCTTATACAAGTTCAACATCATTTCCTTGCTCTTGTATTCTATGCCCTTCTTATTAACTCTGAGTATACTCTGCTTTTATTAACTGTTCTCTGCACTTATCCTGCCACCTCCAATGTTTATTGTGTTGGAAGCCATCACTCCAAGTGATCTTTGTGCCTTTGAAGACCCCACCCCC